CCATCTTTACAGAACACTCTGGCCATAACGAGTCCACTGCAGAAGCCATTCTGCAGTGTTTTGCATGTGGGCAAACCTTTAGGATCCCATCTTTACAGAACACTCTGGCCATAACGAGTCCACTGCAGAAGCCATTCTGCAGTGTTTTGCATGTGGGCAAACCTTTAGGATCCCATCATGACAAAAGCATTCTGGGATACATCTGCTTCTTCTGAGGCCTCTCTTTTCTTCTCATACACTTCGTAGACCCTTTTTCTCTTACAACTCTAGGTCATTTTCAAAGAACCACGGTGAGAAATGTGAGCTTCAATAACTGTCTGAAACTATAACTCCCCACACATATATGCCTGAAAGGGAGCATGCGCAAAAAAAAAAAAAAAAAATGGGGCTAATGGGATAAGCACAAAAGGACAGCCTTGTGCAAACATATCACCAGAAGGATTGACAATTAGGAGGAGCTCTTATTTAGATGATCCACCCAGAAACCAAAGATTGTCCTATATGCTTTTAATGTATAAACTTTGCAATAAACTGAACAACTTGTGATGGGTGACTTATCAAGCCAGAACTCCTTAAAAAAAAAATCATCTTCGGCTGGAAAATTAATTATGAAACAAAACAAAAATAAGATGCATGTCACAGGAAAGACCAGTGATGCTACAAATATGGCAATTGCTTAAACTACTGAAAAGAAAAAAATGTATTAATTTATAATTAACTCTTCCCTTATCATCCACAGCGGTACACAATAACACACATTAAAGCAATGTTAATACAAAGCTGCAATGCACAGAAGTTGGTAATAACTTTCTAATGTTTTTCAAATCTGTAACTTAACTATTTAAGGACTAAAAGACCAAAATGACCTGCCAAAACTACCTGTAAAACCTATGGGTGATTTTAAAAAGGACACCCAAAAGCCTAAGGTTTTCCAGAAATTCAACATGAAAAAAACAAACAAAAAAAACCCCCAAAAAATTAAAAACCTTAATAATTGATTTCTGGTCGTTTGTAGCAAATACAAACAAAATTCAAAACATAATTTCAAAATGACCCATCTTCAATAAGGTAAATAAATACTTATCAATTAGGGTGACGTCTTCTTCTATGGTTTAATTCTCACTAGTTGTTCATCTCCACACGTCGGATCCCCCCAAAAGTTATCAAAGTGGACACTGAGTTTGCTGCCGATTTTGGGCTGCTTTTGGTGCTAGCCACTGCTGCAATGAAGAAGCCGAAACCATTTACTTTCGGTAACTTTGAAAGCAGCTTTCTACTTTCCTCCATCTTTCTCCCCTTTTCAGCAGAGCTAAGGTAGCTTCTTTTCATCTTTCTTTTCTCTTCTTCTCTTCTCTGCTCATCTCGTCATGTGTTTGGACCTTTCTGCACATTCACAGAAAAAAGATTGATCCAGTGTGATGGACAGTGAAGCTGGGGCCCCAAGACACACTTGATGTCATAAGCACTCTGATGACATTTTAGTGAAAGGAGTTTTATCAAAAACATAATTAATGTGCACAAATAAGTAATTGCATGTTGTTGCATAATTCTATGAACCATACATGTAAAAGGAGTTTTATTGGGCCCTAGGCAATTGCCTAGTTTTGCCTAATGATAAATGCGCCCCTGCTGGTTATATTTTAATATACAATGTGATTAAATACATCATAAAGACATCATAAAGACAGCTATAATAGAAATGGGCACATTCTCTTGTAAAAATGTAACAATCCAAAATCGATGATGATGAAAAGGAAGTTGGTGGGATTATTCAGTATGTTTTGACATGATGACTTAAATAGTGGTAGGTTGGTCTCATACTTGTTAAATGTTGGTTGTATTTACCATTAGTGTGCAGTAATTGCTTACTTACCTAAGCATTATCTAATTAATGGCTGTAAAACGACCATAAGTCTAATATGGACTTGTTGGGATCCAGAGGTCTGCCCTCCAGAGGGCGACGTGGATCCCTTTCTGAGGGGTTCTGCTG